TTGATTGCTGTGTCATCCTAATCACTGAAAAATATTCTTATAAAACGACATTTAATGTTAATAATCACAATGTCGATTCCTAAATCACTATTTTACTTATTAAATATTTTTGTAATAAGATTATTTTCATGAATTGTTTCATAATTATGACAACTTAATTCGTTTTCTGTTATAAAAGCGTCAAACATAGTTTTTAAAATAAATTTTATCAACGGCCGGTGCGCGAAAATATTTAAATTAAAGAAAATAATATTTTTCTTTATTTTATATATATATATATATATATATATATATACATATATATACATATATAATTGCATAAATATTATAAATTGTGCAATGGCGGATTCCATTTTCAACTTCATATCAACTTTACGTCATATAAACGTAACTTCTCTACAAAGGCACATACGAGGGGTGATCCAAAAGTAATGATAATGAAAATAAAACACGGTAATTAAAGTTAAAATAATAATTTATTTTTCTACATGGTCTCCTAACAAATCAATACATTTAGTCCATCTTTTTTCTAAACCCAGGATTCCCTTTAAAAAAAATTCTTTTTCTTCACCCTCCCAAAACGCTTCAGCAGCGGCCATTACTTCGCTATCGTCTTCGAATTTCTTGCCTCGGAGGCGTTCCTTGAGCCGAGGAAAGAGGTAGAAGTCACTAGGAGCTAGATCTGGCGAATAGGGAGGGTTTTCGAGCAGTTCGAATCTCGTTTCTTGAATGGCAGCTATCGCAACTGCGCCTTTGTGAGCCGGTGCGTTGTCTTGGTGAAACATCACTGCAGCTCGCAGTTTGCCGTAATCTTCTTATTTGGTCTGCGTAGTAAGAGCCCGTAATAGTGGCTCCCTTTTCCAAATATTCCACCATTATGCCTTGAGCGTCCCAAAAAACAGATGCCATAACCTTTCCCGCCGAACTTTAAACTTTGAATTTCTTTGGCGTCGGTGAGGAGGCTCGCTTCCAAGTCATCGATTGTTGTTTCGTTTCAGGATCAAAATGGTGGATCCAGGTCTCGTCCATAGTCACAAAACGCAACAAAAAATTTTCTTGATCTGCTTGGAACTTTTCGAGATTGACCCTCGAAATGTCAACTCGATTTTTCTTTTGCTCGTCGGTTAACATTCTGGATACCCAACGCGCCGAGACCTTTTTCATATGCAACTCGTTCGCAAGGATTCTTTAAACGCTGCCATATGAGATCCCTGTGACCAGCTACATGCCTGATGGTCACTCTTCGATCTGCCAACACAACATCTTCGACTTTTTTCACGTTGTCTTCAGTGAGGGACGTCGATGGGCGTCCTTCGCGATGTTCATCTTCAGTGGATGTTCTGCCCAGTTTAAACTCCTCGGCCCAGCGTGCAACTGTAGAATATGTAGAGCAGAGTCTCCCAATGTTTCCACTAAGTCACTGTGTTTGTCTTTTGAAGACATTTTTTTCAAACAGAGGTACTTGATGACAGCTCTAATTTCGTTTTTCTCCATGTTGATGTTATCTCTATGACAGTTCGTATTCAAATGAATGTATCTCCAGGAAATCGTAATCTATTTATATGATTTTTTTAGGCTGACGTAGTGAGTATATAAGCAAGCAAAAACTATATTTTTTGGATTTTTATGCGGACCTGAAGTAACCGATTATCATTACTTTTGGATCACCCCTCTAATTCAAGCTGAGATCGTCACAGGGTGTGACTCAAACAAAATTGTATTTATTTCGCGAATACCACTCTCTAGATCACTGACCATTGCGCAGTTGTCAAGGCATTGCCTTCGGCGTGGGTTCGATTCTCACACGGGACAATTATTTGTGTGACCCAGTGCTGTTGTTTCCCAGAAGACAAAACTATGAACGTGGTATTTAAAGTGATATTTTATTATACACTAGCTTTCCGCTCGCGGTTCGGCCCGTATGTACCACTTTTTATGTCGTGCTTAAAATGTAGCCTTACTCAATAAATTGGCTATCCAACAGTGCAAGAATTTTTCAACCAAAAAGACAGATGCTAGCTAGACTGCTAGCATCTGTTTGATACATGTATTTCATTAACTGTGACATTTAGACAGTTGAAATTTTCACAGATGTTGTACTTCTGTTGACGCTATAACAAAAATGAAGGAAATCAGAATATTTTTTTAAGTGGGGCTCTCATGCAACAGATTTTTATAGATTATGGTATCGAACCCTTCGTGCGCGATTGCGACTCGCACTTGGCTGGTTTTTAAATTTATATGTTATAACAATCATCATCATTTTACAGACCATAATATAATTATAGTTAACTATAGTTTCATCCGCTTCTGCTGGAGCTATTACTTTTTTTTAAGTTGATATAACTTTTTTATTTATGAATCGATTTGACTAAAACTAACCGTAAATGTTAAGTGAAGTACTACAATGTATTAGTGAAAGTTGCACTCAAATCAGTTAAGCCGTTTCTGAGATTAACGCGCACAAACGCACATACACACAGGCAACAATTTTAACGTGGTCACTAATAGCTAGTACCCATAATAAGAATTTGGAGTGCTACGTGGCAATCAATTGGACATAATATATGTAAATATTATGGTTTAATTAAACCATCTATTCATGGTTTAAAAAATACCGCTGCTATCATAAAATTACGATATCTATTAACATCAGGTTAAGATTTGGACATGTGTGCTCTCCAGCGTTCTTGGCTAAATTACATATCTGAAACACTTCTTTGTGTGAAGGTGGGTTAAATGACGGTACAATTGATAATTTTTTATTTTATAATTTTTTGTGCCCCTTTTAGTTTGTGTATATTTGTGTTTTGATGTTCCATTATTAATGTTACAAGTTTCAATACTAAAACTTCGAAAAATAATAAAACACGAGATTTCCGATTAGAATAATTGATCTATTCTCAGCCAGTAAAAAGTCAGAATAAAATTTTTACTAAAAGTTTCAAGAATAAAATTCTTTTTAATTCTTAATCGTGAAAACGATATAAAAATTTATTTTTCGTAATATAAGAGTTCTAACGTTTCTACCTTGATTCTAATATTTTAACTATTACTGAACTTGAAAATTAACAACTATTATAACGACAAGCAGCACCAGTGGCTATATCACCGTCCGGGAACGCAGCCGAAAAACAAGTGACCGCTGCTCCATGCGACCATGTGTCCCTTGGCTCGATAACGTCGTAATTATCCGGTATACAGTTGCCTGCGCCAACAGTAACTCAAACCGCAGAAGTATGAGTTTTGAGTGATGTTATGCGGGACTAAAGTATATCTTTTCATAACGAACAATACTTCGAACACTTTTCAGGTACAAGTATCGAAAAGCCTCTACTACTTTACTTTTTCCAATCTTACTCTCTACTTTTTAACACAGTTATATAGTATTTTGAATACAGTTAAATCAACAATTATAAAATTGCCTGCTAAGTCGCGCGAAATTTCCATGTTTACATGAATCGCTCCATGTCAATATTGCCTCTAGGATTATTATCATATAATTAACTAGCTGTTGCCCGCGACTACGTCTGCGTAAAATAGGCTGAAGGCGTAACAGTCAGATAGAAAGACAGTAATACATAAAATATGTATATAAATTATAGCCTATGTCTTATTCTGATGTATAAGCTATATTATTGTAAAATTTCATTACAATCCATTCAGTAGTATTTGCGTAAAACGGTAACAAAGATCCGTCCATACATACAAACTTTCGCCTTTATAATATTAGTAACGATTTATAGTATAATATATATATATATAACTAACTTCTGTAATAAGAGGATTTTCGGTGCACTTGTATTTGTGAAATTCGCATTTGGCAAAAGTTTCAGCACCTAATTTTAAATTTTGGCACAAATGCTTATGCTAATAAAAACTAACGATCGAATATGAGAACTTAAAGAATCAGGTATATGGAATATATTTTCATTTTACTTCGAATCTATCTATTCTATTAATTATAACAAGTTCACTAAAATCTCATTTTATTTCAGATTTAAATATTGTATTCGCGAAGGTTTATTTACTATTATTATTTGATTACTAGCTTTTCGCTCGCGGCTCCGCCCGCATGTACTACATTTTATAGCGTGCTTAAAAATAACCTACGGAACCCTTCTTGCGCGAAGCCAACTCGCACTTGGCCGATTTTTTTTACCTTCATAAAAACTTTCAAGCATCATCATTTTATAGACCATAATATACAGTTAACTATAGGTTTTTATTTATTTTTTTATGTGAAAAGTTGCCAAGTGTAATGTGGTTCTTTAACTTCATATAACTTTATTATTTATGAACTGATTTAATTAAAAATAACACTAAATGTTAAGTGAAGCTTACTATAATGGATTAATCAAAGTTGCACCCAAATCAGTTGTCGTTTTGAGATTAGCGCAAAATCCCACGGACAAACAGACCAAAATTTTAACAATCATTGTTTTGAGTTCTACTGCGTTGATCAAGGCCCCCAATAATAGGTTTTTTCAAGTATCTTTCATGTATACAGACAACGCTCAGCTTCTTTTTTTATATGTATTGATTTAAGTACAATTATTATTTCAAAACTTTTTATTTTGAACATAAATTCAAAATCCTATAAATGAATACTGTAAATATATGCTAAATAATATAAATATATATTTTCTTAAAATCAAAATGGATGAGGAAAAATAAAAATAGTTAAATCCAAGTAAAATTTTTATTGTCGATAAGTTTGTAACAACCTAAATAGTCAAATAGTCTCGCAAACTTTACCTATCTTTGTAGTGGTGGTAAAGGCTTTTCATAATTCTAAGTATGTTTACAACATCAACTTCAAACATTAATTAAAAAGGCAATAGAATAACTTGAAGGACTACACAAATACTATAACAATAATGTATATGAAGTTGACATTGAACGCCCTGCCATATGTTCTTGATAAATTGTATTTATTAACATTATTATTGAGTATTATTTACATGTGTACAGTCTTTTATTTTAACTTAAAGAGATCACTTCTTAGCATTGAATCCCTCGCCAGTGGGGTCCAAAATCCATGGGTAGTTATTTGGACACTCCATGCAAGTGAACAGGCGTAGTGTCTCTCCAGGTAACTCTCGAGTGGTCAAGGGGCATGCGTTTGGCAGGGAGCAGAAAGGTTGACCTTTAACGTCACACTTGTCTTGTTTCCATTCTTGGAAATCTCTGAGTGATGAAAGTTCTGTAGGATTTTGCATCCACTGTATCACTTGGATTAAAGAGGTGAAGTACACATCGTTCTTTTCCAACATCTCCTCAATGAATCTGATAAGTTCATCTCTGAATTCTTTTTTAGATTTAAGCCAAGAAGCATGGAAGTGTAGACCGAGAGGAGCACGGTTGGTTGTGTAATGCCGGTTGAAATTTTGACGCAAAAGACGTGCGAACTGCTCACCGGTTTGGATGTTAGAACAAGAGTCAACTACATGACAACCAGGTAGGGATTCATCGAAGGTAGGATCATCTCTTCTGTCTAATTCGTTCATAACCATTTCCCAAACCGGGTGGCTTCTTGACGGGCAGTTGTGCGCGTTACCGTTGCATTTGTGAGGCATACGGAAATACAAGGTATAAGGCCAAATGGGAACACGTCCGAGAGGGGCTGTTATCGACGCATCATAGACGAAGTACTGGTCAGCCATCATTTCAAATTGTTTGTTTCCGCCAACACGCAGGTATGGGGCACGAACACCAATAATTGAGGCGTCAGTTATATTGGCGAAACGTTCCGTGATTAAACGGGCACCAGCCATTTCAGCGAGCCAGTCATCATAACTACCTCCAGACCAGTATAGAGGGTCATCTTTATGAGTTAACGAGAATACAGCAATTTCGTGGCCTTTGCGATGCAGTTCTTGGACTGCAGCGTAGTTGGTATATTTGTGAGAAACAAAGAATGTACCACGAATTTGGCACCCGTTGGGATTGTGACGGTTTCCGTTAAAGATTTGATCGTATAGGTCGATATTGTCAACATTGACAGCGCCGTTGAATGTAATTGTTATCATTTGAGGCACTTGATTGGGTTCAATTCCACCAGGAATGCGAGTGCCATCAGCGGAACAGAAACAGTCTGGTAGTGTACACTGGTTGGTGTCGCAATCGGGAGCTCTGTTCGGGTCCAAGTCGACGGCTGTAAATTGTTTTTGTCTCAGTAACGTATTAAAAATTATAACTTTAAAAATAAAATATATTTTATGTTTAACTCACTGCAAGCATTTTCATCAGACTCGTCTTTGCAGTCAGGTTTTCCATTGCAAAATAGCGCTTTTTCAATGCAATCGCCGTTGCCGCAAGCAAGGTTTCCTTCAGGACATATAGGCTCATCTGTTTTCAAGATGGGCAGAACTTTTCTTGGTTCTGGAAAACATTGAGAAGAACACAAAAATTAAATCTATTCGCTACCTATGGCATAAATTTAATGCCGTACACAATAATATGCAGGTCTTAAACCTTAATCTACGCTCGTGGCATCGTCTGTGTGATTTGCTTCAATGTAGAAGTGTTGAAAGGGGTTTTTTATACGGAAAATAATGAAAAGAGATAGCGAAGCATGACACAATGAAAGAGTTAAAATCAAAGAAAATTAATAGAAAGATATTGTAGAAGAGCTTAGCTGATACATATTTTATAGTATAGCCAAGTTTCATGTGTTTAATTAGTTACAGGACAGATTAAACAATCTAAGAAATATCTTATATTGCTTTAGAGGAAAGAAATGGAAATGTGACACGTGCCGAGGAAGATACAAATACTTTAATGTGGACGGTAATAAGTTACTGAAAAATCAGAAAGTCAATTAATCTAAAATGACGATGAAAAGACAATTGATGAATAAATTATTTATAAATAACAAATTAATCATAGTAAGGCTACACGTTTTTTAATTAAGCGAAAAGGCTGCTTATAAATATACACTAATTCTTAGAAAAATGTGGTATTATTCAATATAAGCAGCCCTTTATACGAGTGAAATAGTAGAAAAAGAAGGAAGTAAATCCATGTAAGCTATTTTTATTAAATTAATTGGTTATACATTAAGCAGTGTATCTACTTATAATTTTTAGGAAACAAAAACCGCTAGTGCTTACAACATAGTACCTGAACCATGAAACGGAAAAAGTTAGTAGTGACAAAATCCAATTGCTTATTAAGTGCTAAGTGAAATTAAAGAAAGCGTTAGCATATGACAGCGTTCAGAAGGATAGGAATTTTAAAGTTTTCGTTAGTGAAATATAGAGGAGTTCAGTGTTTTTATTTGCAAAGTGTAGGATTGTTTGTTGTTTGTTATCATGTTTTATTTTTAGCGTTTGTATTGCGTTTCGCTTTTTCTTTCAAGCGAAACAAATTGCATCAACATATCTTCAATTTATATTTCCGAACGTACATTGTTATGCGTTAAGAATATTGAGCATAGTAAGTACATATTTTGTTCCTCTAAACATTTATTTAATATTATCTTTTAATTATAACTTGGAACGAATTAGATAACCGAGTGAATAGGTGTCTGTGAGTCAGTACGTAATAGTACATTAACGGTATTTGATTAAGTATTTTTTTATTGTGTATGAAGAAATGTTAATGCGTAACTAGTGGGTCGGTCCTATTGCGGGCCGCTCCCTCTTACGGGGCCTCATGCAATACACCAAATCTACAGTGCAACGCGGCCCCTTCACCCAAGCCCGGTTGCTCGCTACACGCGAATAGCTTCTTTGTCGGAACTTACTCTCGAGTTTGTCACAGTTGTTCACTTTACCCTTCCAATCGCAGGTTTGTTTATCGAGATCGAAAGCCAGGCCGGACGGGCAAGTGATCTGTTTAAGACCTGACCTAGTGCACCTGTGTTAATAAGAAACGACACATTAAGTTTAATGCAAAATAGAAGGAAGCGGACGTACTGAAGGCTAACTCGTTGGATCCGGAACTATAACAATTTAATTGAAACGAAGACGGAAGCTAGCCCTTCGCACAACCGCTTCCTAGATCTTGTAAAACTTACTTTCTAGTTTATCGCAATTCGGAACATGTGTTTTCCAATCACAGGTCTGGCGGTCGATATCGAAGGCTAGCCCGATAGGACACCGTACTGAAGCTAGTCTGGTTACGCCATTTTCAGCACCTTTGTCGCACCTGTATACAGCCATGTCTTCAACTCAAAGTTATAGTTCAGAAGTCCCATTGCTGACAACATTTCAAAATATATAATTCCAAAGTTGAATAAAGCAAATGTGATGGATTACGTTTCTTAATTCTTCTTTGAAGGATGAAACAGCATATGAGTGAGAACGTTCATTGATGCGATTCGACAAAAAACGTGTTTTTATAATAGTCACTGCTATAGTGGTATGAATAACAATTCATAAAACGTCTATCGAAAAATATGAAGGCAATTTATTTCCATTCGTATCGTCAAACAAAATGGACAAAGTTCAAATATAAATACCGCTTGTCGTCTCCCTCCACTAGCAGTTGAATCACGTTATGTAAAGACCTGTTTATTAGTAAAGCGGCGGGCTTACGGCTAAATGGCACGGATATAGTTTCTCTTGAAATATACAATTTCAAAATAGTAGCCAAAAGATTGAGTTTCTTTAAAACTCCTGCTACTGACTTTTATAAGTCGTATAAATAACAAATTAAAGGTCAAAGCATTAGCAATGTAAATAAATATTTGCACATACGCTTGAATAATTTATACTTTCTATAAACTAATATATTAAGTTGTTAATTTATTACGGTGCTGTAATTACTTAACACTTAGGTAAAAATTAGTTTCGTTTGCTGTCTTTAATAAAAGGGTAACTGAAATTCTAAGGTAATGAAACATTATCTAGTACCTACATATAGCTCGAGTTAAATCAAAGACCAAAAACATGACTAATATTCAAGGCACGAATTACACTGGACTGTTCCGTTCACCGGCTTGAATATCAAGTTCTGCATACTAACGATATGTCTTGTTGGCAAGCCTCTATAAACAAATCAAAGATAAGAGAATGGCATTTGACATTGCGACAAGCATTGTACTTACATACCGGTATGAAATGAATTTACTCAATGCATCAGCTTTTTAGTCTGTACTTTATGTGGTAACAATGGGTGACATTCTTTAAGATAATCTGACCTGACGACATCACGGCAATCGCCTTCTGTGGTTAAACGGAAGTACTCATCACCAGGGCGACCATCACAGAGTTGTTCAGGAGTAGCGTCCTCACTAGCGCCGTCTTCCTCTTGGCGCTTCACACGGGTTTCGCTGCTCACTATAACATACAAATTTCTAGAATCTGTTGCGTGAGAATGCTATTGTAATATCCCTAGTAGACCTGATTTGCGAACTCATGCGAACGTTTTAGTTATTACAGAAACTGCAAGGCTTACAATCTATTCTTTGGTAATAAAGCATATATTAGAACATGCTTGTTGGGTAACATCGTTCAACGTAAGCGTCTGTTGCTAAACGCGTTTGCCACAATTTTCCCAGAGTGAATCGTTTTATTATAAAATGAATTCAATTCAACACCTGAAACGGGCAATAAGTAAGGTCTGTTCGAGGTTTACCCATTCGCCTTTTATTTTTTGAATGATAGATTAAAAATATGGGACAAAAACTTAAAGTATTTGCAACGTTATATTAATACTAATTAGTCGTATATTTATTATTAAATCTTTACATTTAACGAATTTAAAATATAATTATGCGAGTAAGTTGTTGAAGGCATTGAAAGTTAACCGATAAAAGAAATCGAGGTCAGCTTCGGCCACGTAAGTAACTTGTATTATTTCTTTGTGGTTTGTACCATGTATTATAAGGTACGCCCAGAGCTGAACGAAGCTTTAGTTTTTAACTATATAGCTTTACAGACATTCTTTAGATTTATTATTGTTTGTCATATAATACAACAGATATAAAATAAATCACATATTCCTTAATCATTAAAACTTATAAAATTACCATTATAATGACATTTATTCTTATGTATACATATAATAGTATTTTTAAAAACAGTACAAAGATACCATGAGACATCTTAAAAATTTAATTGAAAAATATAAATGAGCTCTTTTCTTCCAAAACCATTCGTCAATCATTAATCAGAATATATTACCACGTAGGTATATATGTCATCTTTATTTTTTTTAAATAAAAGCTTCAATTGCTTAGATACTTACCGCAGCAGACGAACAATAAAAGACCGAGACAGAGATACGCGCGTCGAGCCATGATGCTCGGTAAGAACTGGCCGCTGCGCCGCGTTCCACTGGAAAGTGCAAGAGGTGTCTGCTGCCCCTCTTCACCTATTTATATAAGTGGCCAAGTCGTCGACGCTAGCACGACGAGAATACACCCGTCTTATGCGCACTGAACCTCTCGCAGATATAAATCATTATACCGCCGACGCAGCTTTTAATAAGCACATGGTGACGTTACTGGAAACGTTGTAGGAAAATAGTAATAATTTTTTTTCGTATAGTACAATTTGTAATTTAATCTACCTTTATTTTGCAAATATAATTTTAACTTACTGAAACAATAAAAAAATAATTCCGTGTCACGTCAAAAATTTTAGCTGATCGTTATTAGATAGTGAGACACACTCAAAATACAAATAATTCCGTTAGATGGCTCTACTAAACTGGTACAAATATAATTGGCTAGATATAATTCTTAGAGCTTGAATGACATGTAATATTCACGTGTAGAAGTTTTAACATCAGTTTTAATATACCGATCATATGTTAGTAAATTTTAAGAAAAAACTAATTATATTTCATTTCCTAATTTTCGAGCGGAGAGTTTTTGACTAATAAGATTTTAGCAGATTCTTACTGCAAATTATTACTAAATATTTTTTCTAGATAATATATTATTAAAGTCGAACACCATAACCCAGTATTAATAGGTTGCTCCTATAAACATTACTATTTCTTTAGATTACAAGAGATGTACCGCAGTCGTTGATGTTTTATATACTAATTTTTATGTGACTTAATTGAAAATAATTATAATTATTTTCAATTTCTTATTATTTAATTAAAATTATTTTCAATTTCTATCAAACATAAAAATACATAATTATGTTTGATAGAAATTAATTTAAGGATAGAAAAATAAATGAAAGTGAATTTATACTGATTATGTGAATTTTTATATTTCAAATACATTTCAGATCATTGTTATTCATCGTTCTGCTTTAAATATGAATATAAAAATAAATTACAAATGAAATTTACTTTCATTGAATATAGGTTAACATTACAAAATGGTGAAACCCATTACCCACATTTAATTCAAAGCGATTTTATTTTCCTGCGAATCTCACTTTCGATTGTTATTTAAACCTGTTTTTAAAATTTATGTCAATGTCACTATAAGATGGAAAGAAGATCCGAAACTGTAATCTTGATTTACATAATAAGTTTATTAAAATAGGAGTTTGAAGGACATTAAAAATAAAACCAGAAGGACAGGTTTTCGTATGTTAAAGAAGTGGGTAATTATTCCTATGAAATACCTGTAACATTATTATTTAAACAAATATGTACATTATGAATAAGTTAAAAAGTACTGTCCATGATATATTGTAAACAACAATCAAAAAAAAACCAAAAAAATTAATGATATCGTTACAAAAGTACCAATAAAACACGCTAATATATTCTTTGACCGGGTATTTTAATCCTTTGCCAATTAGTAGTCCAGGTAAAGGTTATAAGAATTATAAAACTGATGTGCACGAATCTTTTAGTGACCAGTATAGGTATCTAAATGTTCTTGAATAAATTATGAAAATTAAGAGTTTTGAAAAACTTGTTGACCGTTAAATGAGACATCTATATATTATAACTTATTCGAGCGTGATAAGGTGACATATGTATATTGCTATATGTTACCAGTTGCTTAGTTATTTAAAGATTCTCTAAATATATTAAAAAGTCCGGACTCAATTCACGCGATGGATGGCTTTTGAATTTAATTCTTTAAATTTTAGTAGACAATGAACTGAAAAGGGTTCTAAACGTCGAGAATTAAAATAGAAAAATTAAACTAAAATTTGTTTCATTTAGTAATATGTAATCGCGTAAATACAAGAAATTATTATTATTACGTATTATTTTCTAATGTTGTGTAATCATTTTTATTTCATAATATTTTCCTTCGCATCATTACTTAAAAGGATATAGCCAATCGAGGTCTTCGCCTAAAATCTTGCTTGAATTTAAGGTATATTATTATTACGGTACGGTAGGACTCGATGAATACTGAACAAACTGGGTTTACATTAAAGTTTTCAAAAAACTTTTATTTGCAAAAAATCAAATATTGCATTCTATTTGAATTATGTCAAAGTTATGTTCGGTCATACTTAGGCCGTCGGTCTGCGTGCGAAATGTCTGTCACCATCTGAGTAGGCAACGATAAACTGCTGTTACAAATCAACTTGGAATTCCGTGCGAAACAAAGCATTTCGTCGACTTAAATCCATTGTTTTATTATTTCAGTCATTTCATAACGCAGTTTTATGAATTACTTTCGATCTCACCAAAAAAAACTAAATCAATGTACCGTAATCCGTATATCACGTGGAGCAATCTTATTTTGTATAACTTTGTACGAAACTTAATAAATAAATACGAAACTATTACTTAAAAATAATAAATAAAGAAGTAAAAATATATCCTTATTTCAGAACTAAGTCTGTACTGTAGTCAATATCAAGTTACTATTATTAACATACATATAATGTATATGCAACTTCGATATGACCAGAAAGATGAACAAGCGCATTATTATAACAGGTAAAGGAAATAACTTGTATTAGATAAACATTTTTCCTCCCGAACAATTTTGTCTTCGGCCGAATAGTGATTCGATCGAAAACAATTTCATCTGTCCCGAACAAATTTTTCGCCTGGCGGAGCACATCCTGTAGCACATAAGTACGGGCACACTTCTTCTTCGACATCGTAAAGATATTCGACACGGAATTACGGCTTGCTCTACAAGCTGCTTGCACTCAACATGCCAGAAAGACTCGCACTTATTCGAGCCTTTCTGTTGAATGGCTTTTACTGATACCGAATCTAGGGCTGAATGTATCTTGTTGAATATATTAAACTTCTAACTTTTAACATTTTCACTACATTTAAAAGTAATAAAATTATACCTTTTTTAAGTCTGACTTTTAAAGATATCGGTTATTTTATAGGTTCTTGCTCATTCTAAAATTCATTCATTTTAAAATAAGTTTTTTTCATATATAGTCTCTTTCATTCATTATACTTTGAGTCGTAAATCGTATTCTCGGGGCGCTGTCTTTTAAAATAAATAAAATCACAAATAAATTAGATTATTGATATAAGCACCAATAATTTAGTTTTTTATTTCTTCCTGAAGTATGTTATCCTTTAAATAAGTGGCATATTTTATATTCTTTAGCTAATCGTTATAGTTCAGTTTCTGACCATTTGCTTTTGAAATCATTATATTCGAACAACCCTTCAAATCTTTAAACAAATTAAAAATCTTATGTACTGAATTGCCATGAATTTGGCGGTGAAGTAAAACATCGTGAGGATATCTACACCACAAAGAAATTATAATATAGAAAATATTCGAAAATACGTGATATCAATCCGAAATGGGACCGCATGACGTACTCTATTTTCATATGTAGAGACAATGCTTCACATTTTTATATTTATTAAACCGTATTACTCGTATTATTCGTTCATTGTGGCGTGGGGAGGCCTATGTTAAACAGTGATAGTCTTCTTGTATATTGTATTAACTGATGTTATTGTATTATCTTTCAGTCCCGAGACTATTAAAGCTTCATCTGGCGCAGAACCGGTGGGCTGGCCAGAACCCAAGGATTTGGGCCCTCCGCTGTGGGTAGGGCCACGCATGAGCACATGCTAACCTAACTATGGTGTGTCATCTAAGGGCCATCGAGGTCGCGGTACGGACCGAAACCCCGATGGCCGTCGACTGTGCAATTAGTTAATCGGTGGCTGGGACCCTCGGCGGTGGCTCAATGATAGTCTTGCGACTGATGATGATGATGATGATTATTGTAATTCATTAAAATTATCCGAACACATTACTCCAAATCACAGATTTACAATATATGACGAGAAACAATTATTTCAAAACTTTAACTTTGAAAATCATTACGTAGTAATTATTTTTAACTTTGAAAATCATTACGTAGTAATTATTTTTAAAGTTATTATTCATTCTTTTAGTATTCAGTCAGATGCACCTTCAATTTTAAAAATGATTAAAACAAGTGCAATCTTTTTATTATCAAAAAACAAAATCGACTTCAAATATCTCACTCACTATACATTTTCCTTTTGTTTGTGAGGAGTTCTCTGACGTATCTCCGGTGTTCAAAGTCCAATAATAATAAAATAAATATTGAACTTCAAGCTAAACTAAACCGAAAATAGAAATAATTTTTAACATCGGTTCTGAAATTACGGAGTTCTGAGAATAGAAATGTAAAAAAATACAACCGAACAACAAACCTTTCTTGCGTCTCCTTTTTTGATGTCGGTTGAAAAGAACTTGAAGCATTTCGTTCAAAAATTTTACTAGTTTTTTATTCGTACTCTTTGCACAAGGCATTTAAAAGAATTGAACTCTAATAAATTAATGAATCGACTGATGGGTTACAACTAAAATTAAAAGGACTAGTCTTACAATTTCTTCTAAAATTATTTGATTACGCGAAAAAAAGATCTATCAGCTAAAGAAGTACTATACATATATAAGTTTTATTTATACATTTTAAGAATAACCATATGGTAAATTAACAAGATATCAGTAGATATTATTGAATTCTTTGGATTGGTATAAAATTAGCACTTTATTTTGATTAGGATATACCCTTAGCGTCTAGGGAGGTTAAGTTAAGCAGAAGTTTGTATAAATACCTTTTAGGCAGAAGGCATTTATGAAAAAAGGAGACAAAACAAGCAGCTTACATCTAAACTCCTAGATCAACAAGGGGAACCCATAAATAATATAGCGCTTATATTATAAAGTAGAAGAAGATAAAAGCTAAAATGTAAACAAACCATTTTATGAAATTTTCTTATATTATTAAAACAAATATACAAATTTAACACATGCATATTTTTAATTAGGAACATTACCACTAAAGCTTTTCCAATAGATATCTCAAAATAATGTTAAAACTAGTTATGCACAGAAGA